TCCTGATTTCTGTTACACTCCTGACATCATCAACGCTAACCTAGTGATGACACGCAGCAAGGGGGGACAAAGACCACGCAGCTTGCCAGCAAGTGGTTTGGCCCAGCTTTTTTGTCAATGGGAAAGAAGCCAGATGCCCATTGACCCATGTTTGAAAAACCCGGGTTAACGCAATAATTGGATTTCAGTGGGAAAGAGAATACAGTAATGCAAGTTGGGTGAGGGGTCCAGGGGACGGAGTTTGAAAACCACTGCTCTAAGGAATCTAATTCAGCATATTTAGTCAGACATCGTCATGATCCAGGGAATCCTAGTGATCCATTAAAAACAAGTTCCCTGCTAATTCTCCCATTTTCAAGGTCATCCAGCTGTGCCAAGTGTCAATGTGAATGCCTCACACCTGGCTACAATTAAAGTGTTAATCTGTGGTGTGACTCATCTGGTGATCATCAGGAGCAGAGTACAGTGGGGGCACATAACAAAAACCTAAACAAAATGGGACAATAACACATCATTTCCTAGAAGTGAGCCACAGAGCAAAGGTTTGCTGACCCCTGATCTAACAGTTGAACATATTATCATAATATAGCTTAATATGATACACTTTAATTTCTACATTATTGCTAAAGTAGACTAGAGGTTAAATTTTAAATAGGTCCAAAAGGCAAATAAGTTATAGTCTCCTTAGAACCAATTCTCATAACAATTGATTTAGCATTTCAGTACAGAGACCACAGAAGGGTCCAGATCCAGTTCTACAGGAACACTGGTCCCTGTCTAGAACTGCCCACGATCAGGAGAGGATTGCAAAAGTAAAAAAACAAAAACAAACTTTAAATATTGTAAAGTCTTTGATTAGAGTTTGAAGAAGGCATATGGGTCTGTATTCATTTGGTAAAAATCCTTGGGCTCACAAGCGTAATATTACAATTTGCTGCAGTTTTTAATGCTTATTATTAAGTAAAACTGTGATAAAAGTTTGACATTGAGTGTCTGAAATGATTCATGATTCAGTCTGGGTTTGATTCCCCACCTCACCGTCCACGTCACCAGTTGCCAGTGTCTTTAAAATTAGCATAAGCATGGGTCAGAGCTGCCATGAAGCAGTATTTTACCACGTTTGTTTTTTATAGATTACAACCTTTGTGTAGCAAGTAACTTTGTGTTGTCCTAGTGGTTAAAGCAGTGTGCTTGTGCTCTCAGAAGGTTGCAAATACCTGGTTTGATCCCCCCAGCCTGCACTCTGGGTTCCCCCCCACGCTGCTCCCCATGGGTCAAAAGTGAAATTCCCCACTATGGGACAATAAAGGGATTTACTTTTTCGCCCTGCATTGTGCATATATATGTCACTATTATAAATAAAACAGGACTTTGTTTTCTCCATAGCCCAGGTAAGATGGTTCTGAGATTTATTTTAGTTTAGGATAGGATTTGTCCATTCTGGATGTTTTCCTACCACACTATTTATCTTGCACTCAACTTTTCATGAATCTTCTTGGTCAGAGCACTCTCAGTAAACGGCTCCTTTAGCAAAGACATTTACGGCTCACCTTCCTTCTGGAGTGTCTTTACCACTATCATGACCTCTAGTCAGTAGTCTTCCCCATGATAATGAAGCCTTCACACCCATACTGGAAGACCATTTAAAGCAGGGGTGTCCTTAAAACTTTTAACGAAAGACAGAATGACTTAGTTTCCCCTTATGTGTAATAAATATAAATTATATATGTGTTTCCAAATCTAAAATGAAGTACAAAAACACTAAACTTATTGACAATACTGTTTTTAAAATGAATCTGTGACGTTCAGCTAAAGCATGTCACATCTTTTGAACTTTGTCACTTATCACATTAAATAAGCAAACACAATCAACTGTGACATTTGGAAGAAAAAAGTACAGATTCTGCATCACATATAGGGAATGTACTTTCTGATAACACTGAGGCCCCATACTGAGGTTTCTAGTTTTTGTCCACCTTGTAGATTTCTGCTTGAGTAAAACGTGTCACTAAAACTGCATTGTAAACCAATCATGTAACAATAAGTCAAACCTGTCCCATATGCAAAGTTTTATGACATGCTAAATACTACTAGGTTAATAAGCTAAAACCAGAGCATCTTTATACATTTTACTAACCCAAACATCAAAATTCATAAACATAGATTCCCCAGCACCTTCTTAGGGAACAGGATTAGGGCCACTAAAAAATATGTTTTTTCTCAGAATTCTGACTTTAATCTCAGAATTTTGGGTCTAAATGTAGATGGACACCATGAAGGAAGAGATGTGGGAGCACTCAGCTTCACTGACAAAGATGTGAGTTGTTTGAGAGGGCCAGTGACACATTGGTGGAAAATGACGGAATTAGGCGACATTTTACATGCCAGAGGGGTCCCCGATGATGATATTTCTTTAATGGAAGAGCAGAAGGTGATTAAAACAAGCTAGTTTAGTCTCTAAAACAGACATGGCTACGGCTTGATGCTAAAATGTTTGTTAGTTGTCAGAAAACAGTCAGAATTCTGAGATTAAATTCAGAATTCTGAGAAAAAAAAGTAAGAATGCTGAGAAAAAAGTCAGAATTCTGAGATTAAAGACAGAATTTTGAGAAAAAAAGTAAGAATTATGAGAAAAAAGTAAGAATTCTGAGATTAAAGTCAGAATTCTGAGAAAAAAAGTAAGAATTCTGAGATTGAAGTCAGAATTCTGAGATTAAAGTCAGAATTCTGAGAAAAAAATTAAGAATTCTGAGATTAAAGTCAGAATTCTGAGAAAAAAAAGTCTGAATTTTGAGATGAAAATCAGAATTCTGACTTTTATCTCAAATTATACTGAAATAAACTTAAAAAATCCGTTACGGTAACTTTAATTTTTTCAGTGGCCCCAATCCTCTTCCGTACCTTCTGCACGAAAGAATGAACGAGATAAAAGCTGGCAATTATACAAATAGTCACTCCCTGGTTTTAATGCCACAGCCATATTGGATTTTGGTGAACTCAAACTTAAGGATTTATTATTTTGTTTTTTTTCCCCCCAGACCTTATCTGTACCGCAGAAGAAAAATCTAGAATGTGAAACATGCAGTACCAGAGGAAAACACTCTTCCAAATAATTCCCTTATTTCACAAAAATGTGTCAGGATGGCTGTAATTGGAAACATTATTTGTCAGTGTAATAATTAGAACACTGCTGTAAACAACTAACTAGGGTTGTCAAAAATATCAGTACTCTGAAAAAAGTATCCAGATGTAATACTATTTTTGAAAGGCGATATATTCAAGCATTGTTTGCATATTTTTGCTAAAGTTACTCTTAGATTCCTGCATTATTTGCATATTAAAAGAAAATTTTTTAAGACAGCTGTAAATTGTCAAATTGCGGTAAATTTATTTTGTAGTTTAGCTATCATTTGCTTTTAAAAAACAAAACAAAAAAACTATTCATGTCATTTTTTTATCCCTATGGTACCTAGTTATGAATATTTTCCTAAATATTGAGATCAAGTTTGAAACTGTAGTATCACCTTTAAAACACATGTTAATAGTTTTGAGTATTTAAATTATCATGAGATACGTTTATGATTTTAAAAAAGGTCTCCCCTTAGAAAACAATTCAAGTCAGTTTTGGTGGAATTCCCCTTTAATGCCACAGACATGTGAAACATAAGCTTAATGCACATCCACCTTGTAACATATTGGCATTATCTTCCAATGCAGTCTTTGTCTTCTTATAAAACTCTTCACATAACAGATTTTGTAATACCGAGTTTACAGGTTACTGTACAGAGTAAAAGAAAAACAAAAATAAGAGAGGAAAACTAGTCAAAATTACATTGTTAACGTCCAGTTGCTTGTCATCAAGTACAGTCAGTGGCCATAGACACAAGAATTAGCCAAACACATAAAAAAAAGACCATTAAGGCTGCTCGTCAATGTAGAATAAGTAGGAAAAGAATTGGCACAATGTTTGGAAACCCTTTATATACAAAAAGGGAGCATTTTGCCGGTACATCAAAAAGCCACCAAGAATCTCTAATCAACAAGTTCTGATTCTGATCCAGACAGACCATGTCAGGGGAAGGGGTCCAATATGCTTGTTGCCTGAAGGCAGGTTCCAGGTCAGGAAAGGGGAAATTGTAAAATGCAGGTACCGAACAAAAAAAAAAAAAAAATAAGCAGAGTGAGCTGAATGACTGAAACACAAACATGGAAACAATCGAAATCACTTCAGCTGAGCCCCTGAATAAGGAGAAAACTACATTCTACCATCAGACTAATTCTCTCTCCAGCCGTCCTGAGTCTTCTTTCGTTGTCCTTCAACATGTATCAACTTGGCATGTGAAAAAATATTTTAAAACAAAGGGTAAAAAGGAAAACAAACTGGATAAGTTGGAGAATGAAAAAACCGGGTCACAGCACACACGCAGCATACCTAATGCACGTCACTGTCGAGTACTTGAAGGCATCTCTTTCCAGTTTAAAGTAATTACACACAATAAGAGAAGAAACTCCCAAAGCTTTTATATAAAATCCAGGAATGCAATGCCTCTGGTGTTGTTGAGCGCGAACACAGAAAGCCCTTTTTACAACTGATCTGCCTTTTTTTCCCCCCGACAGTCTTGTACTAGAACTGCGTTTGAGCTCAAATATGCACCTTTGTTGTGTTGCTTCATGTCCGAACAATTTGATCCGTTTAACCCACAGAGGCCCGACTTAAAAAAACAAAACAGAACTCCTCTGTTGGTCGCCAGGTGAAAGAATCTGGGAGTGGAGCTTTTGTCCCGTCTCCTCTGTCATATGTTTGAGTCAAAGAAAAGCAGCAACAGGTTCTGCTGGTAAATTAGAAGCAGCTCATTGTTCGATTTCTTCCCACAGACGCACCCTCTTGATGAGCTTGTTTCACAGCTGGGCCGATGAAACAGTGAGCTGCTGCAAGGAAAGCAAACCTTACAACATGAAACCAGGCTGACTGGAACAGGGAGAAAAACATATCCAAATAATGACCTTTTATAAGGGGGTTTTAATGTACAGTCACTTGGGAAAAAAATACTCAATATACATTTAATCATTAAGAAACAAACACAAAAAAAAACTTAATGAAAGTGTATTTATAATCAACATTGCTCCTTTTAAATGCAAGCCATTTTTCAAGCAATGGATAAAGCAGGACATGGGAGTTTTAAAAACATTTTTAAAGCCAGAAACAGCAAAGCTCCTTTAATAATTGACAAAAATAAATTTCCACCAAAGTTGATTTTAAATTCTGAGACTGCCAAACTCAATTATATTCAAGTGATACAAATTTACAGAATTTGCCATTAAAAAGGAAGAAAAAAACAACAACTTAGAAATGCCCCCAAGGTTAAATAGAGGGGCTTTTATGTGCCCACCTCAGGAGAAAAGATGCCAGTATCGTAAAAAGTGCATGAATGCAGCAGCATTGCTGGGACAGTGTGGCACAGATGATATCTTTTAAAAAAATCATAAACAGATATAAATTTTAAAGGAGTATACCATCAGTTGTGTGTTTGGGATAATTTACACTCAGTTAAACAAAGGAGAATAACTGGAACTTGTAAAGAAAAAATAAAGTGTCACGGATGAGTTACCCGTCAAAATTTTTATTATCAAATCTTTGCGAAGCGCCGACACTCACCAACTTGCTCCATAGACTCAGAAATATACTTTAATAATGCTCGATATGTAGGTCAATGAACAACTGGATGACGGCAATGAAGTCCAACACTGGAGATAATATCAAACAAGTAAACATAACTAAAATTGCACCCAAGGCAACAACCAGAAATTGTATAAATGTATAAAACATCTATCGTTTATCTCATCACCTAGGTATGTTTCATGACTCCGTCCCAATACCAGGCAGAGGCCGCCTCGCTCACTCCTTTTTGGGGCAACAAAAAGTCCAAGTCACCCCCATCTGTCCTCCACAGACATGTATGATTGGCATTTATCATATGTATACAAGACTAGCTCAATGCTAACACCTACTGCTGCTATTTGTTAAAAAGGTTCTCCGTATTTTACAACTGATATCACTTGCATGACAGAATGATGCAACAGGTACACTTAAAAAAAAAAAAAAAGTGAAAACAGTAATAAAAACAATTGAAATAATTTACGTCTTTGTATTTCATGGAGAAGTGTGTTTAGAAATGAACCACCGGATCACTCTAAACATAGGCACAGTTTTAAAAGAAAAAAAACATTTAAAAGCCAAAAAAAAAAAAAAAAAGACCAAAACATTAGACCTTTGTTCTTCAGGGTCACAAACATTTAACATAAGTTATGACGAGGAAAGATTACGTAAAAAAAAAAAGAAGGTATAAGATGACAGAGTTTAAAATTACAGCAGCAGCAAACGAGAAGTCCCAAAGACTTGTTTTTGTGTTTTTGCATACAATTGTATCCTTGCTCACATAATAGATGCTGTAATTACTGTAAATACATTGGCAATGGGATTATGGTTTAAAAAGCTGGAGGACTTCCCTCTGAGGCCAGTCACTTGATCAAACTTTAAATATCTTCATTTTTGGCAAACTCGTGGAGGGCTTTGCCTCGTTTTATGATCTGGAATGAAAAGTGAGCGGTTTTTTTCGGTGGCCTGGGGTCATGAAGGACTGGGATCAACTCTGGAGGAACACTGAAGTCTCCAAGAGTTTGCCTTCATTTCTGCCAGAGTACTGAGAACAAAACGCGATCCTTGTGCGTGTCCCTCCCCTATTGTTAGGTGCCCCCCACCCAAAACACTGATTGTAGCGAGTCTGTTTTCTTTACAGTGTATGATACACATAATGGGAGGGCAGGCAGGCGAAGGGGTGCAGAGTAAAGCCGAGGGTTTGGAGTGGCGCTTGAAGTGGCACTAAGCTGCTCTTGGCTCAGACCATGGCACGGTAAGGTCCCTGCATCTTAAGGAACTGGATGATGAAAGACGGGCCACCTGCAACGATCTGGGCCGGCAGGTGGGTGAGGGGACAGTTCTCGATGCTCATGATGGACAGCTTGCTGCAAAGGGCCAGCTCAAACGGGAGGCTGTGCAGGTTGGGGTTGTCGTTGAGGTACAGTTCCTCCAGATTCTCCAGTGTGCCTGAGTATGAACACGAGGCAGTGATTGTTATTGTCAGAACCTCGAAGCTAAACAAGTCTGAAGGCAAAACACTCTCAAAGGAACATAAAACAAGTGTTGGATCAGTCAAGCATTACGAAACTAGTTTTGGGGTTTAATGACAAAAAGACAATTACCAAGGATGATTGGTTTTGGCTTTAATTGGATAAATGAGTATAGAGCATTTACCTTTACAGCCATCTGAGAATGAATAATGAATCAACGCAACGCTGAAGTTTAGAGTATGGCAAGGGGTTGTTTTAAATATTTAAGGGATTTTGTCAGTAATGTGAAAACACTGACCGATCTCCTCAGGAAGGTGTTGCAGCAGGTTCTCTCCCAATCCAAGGTGAGTCAGGTTGGTGAGGTGGCCGATGCCTCTTGGTAATGTAGTCAGCTGATTATTGGTCAACACCAATTTCTGGTATAAAAAAAAAAGATATCTAGTTAAAGAAAGAAACATTAGCAGAATAAACAGTAAACATTCTTCACCGACAATAATTGGGCATCAGGAACCGATCAGAACCGGTTATATGCTTTAGGGTGATGTAAGGAAGCAACAATAGAGAGTCAGAAAACTTCTAAATATAATACACTGATGCGACGCACCATTATGAGCTCATATTAAATATAATGTAGAGCTCGGTGGGTAGCTCATCCAGATATTTTTTTTTTATCTTAAGCTGGTAAGGGTTTGCTCCTGCCAAACCCTTACCAGCCAATATATATAAATAAGCCATGCAATACAAGACACGGTTTGAATGGATTGTTTCTGGTCGAATGTGGGCGTGTAGAGGAACTAACATGAGGTGGAGCCTGCTCATTTATGTGAGGGCGCATAGGTTGCAAACAACATTTTCAGCTTTTGGGCACATTTAGTAAAGATCCCATGCAATCTTTGACAGATGGGACAGCTGACCAATAAACAGAATGAACCTTCTAGCATGGTTTGGAGTGGGAGACTTTATTTTCTTATACATGTCTCTATGAAAAGCAACAGAATCACGGAAAAGTGATCGATTTATTCAGACCAAAGAAAAGAAACCAATTATCTGAAAGTCGCTACAATTTATAAAAAATAAAAAAAAAATTGCACCAACCTAGCTGACCTTATTAACATCTTTGAATGTAAACAGTGCATTCTTAGGCCGTTTCTCACTATGTGTACTTGTACTGGAGGTGGAGAGGGAGACAGTGAGGAGTTTATTCCATGGTAAGCTGTGATTATGTAATACTACACATCAGTTCACGATGACAACAAACATCCTTATGGAAACACGCCGTTAGGGCGCATCAAAGAGAGCACACAAGTTTTATATTTTCAGTTGCTTATAAATATGACACTTATATTTCTGAGGTGTTTTTGTTAATGAGTCTTAAAAATTCATCAGATACTAAACACCTACCATTAGCCAGTGTGTTTTCACTACTCCAAAATACACTAAATGTATATATATTTATTCACAGACAGAGGGGAACAGTCAGGTGTGGAGCCACTTCATGAAGAATGTAATAGCTGTTGAATGCAGCATCTTCAGTGTTAGTCAGCCAGCAAGCAAAATAAAACACGGCAGATTGGAGGCAATATTTAAATTAACACCACAAAAATTGATTGCATTTAAAGTATGGCTGAAACTAATTTGATTAATCATGATTAATCAATTATTGAAATGATCGTCAACCAATTAGTAAATTAATTGTTAACTTGCGTTCAGAGACTGTAAATATATATATATATATATAAATATATATATATATATATATATATATATATATATATATATATATTAGGGGTGGAACGGTTCACAAAGTCCACGGTTCGGTTCAGTTCATGGTTTCGTGGTCACGGTTTTCGGTTCGGTATATGTTGATTGTTACCCTGAAATCCCATAAAAATTTATTACATTAATGAAAAAAATCCAAAATAATGAATGAATTGTAATTATTTACAATTCTGGTTCATTTCCGCATGTTTTGCTGCTTTGAATTTAATCATCTGGCGCATGCCCTCTACGATCTCCAAGGAACTCAGAGCGGAGCGGATGGGAGCCACAGCGGAGGCTGTAGGCTTTGCTTTGTGCAGGCGGTCTGGAGCGCAGTGGAGCTGACGGAGTATGTGGGATTTCGGGGTTAGCATGACATGTTGGTCATGTTGCTCTTAGCATAAACAAAAGGTGTTGCACAATGCTTGCACACGGTTGCACTTCTATCCACAACTTTCTTTCCGCAGTCATCGTAGGTCACTAAATGCAAAGTGGTCCCATACAGCAGACCTATAAAGTGCTGCTGGCGCGTCTTCCAACTCCTGTTCTTTCCGACTCGCCATACCCAAACAATTCTCCACAACTGATTTTATGCTGCTACACCAGGCTACGCTGCTTCGCTTCTTCTTCTTGTTTACTACTGGTGGTTGGCTTTGGTCGCAGTACCGCCACCTACTGCTCTGGAGTGTAATCGCTTCGCCTATGAGAAAAAGGAGCAGTGCATGAACCGAACGCAACACACGCGAACCGAACCGAGACAGTCGAACCGAACGGTTCGGACGGTTTTCATAAACCGTTCCATCCCTAATATCTATATATATATATATTTTTTAGCATTTAAGATAAAAAAAAAATAAATCATCTCCCAATAAGCTCTGTCCATAACTTATGATTTTTTTTTTTTTATTTGTAAAAAATCTTCTTTAAAGAACCTTTGGGTATTCGAAAAAATTAACATTTATTAGATTGATAAGATGAATCGATTTGCAAAATAATCGTTAATTGCAGTCTTTATTTATAGTCTTCTCTTGACACTGGTGAGATTAAAGTTGCTTATTTTAATTCTATAGTTCCATGTTCTGTTTCTTAGTCTTAAATCATATTTTTCGTTATTATGAGAATTTGAGTCTCATGCAGTCATTTTCAGTTTCTTTTAATATTCTGGCTTTTTCGAGGAAACTGGTGCTAAAGACATGAACTGATAGAGGAACTGAAGTCATACTCTGATTTTTGTTGACTATAAAAAACCCAACAAAGCAATGTGGAGAGTTTATTGGAACAGCTGGAGAGCTGCATCCATCTCTCCAACTGAACTGGCAAATTGTGATGAAGAACTAATATGTAGAAAGGACGTCTAGTGTGTCGAATTAAACCTCCATTTTTTTTAAAGTTATATTTAAAACGGCAATAAATCATTTTTGAGTTTGATATTTATTGTTTTAAAGTGTGCTCTCTGCTGTGGGGGCTGCAAAATGTTCACCTGCCTCAGTGAGCTAATGCAGTCTTAACAGCACGAGGTTCTTCCCTGATGTATATATCCAAACAAGGAGGTAATTGTGTTTAAAAACAGAGTTTCTGCAGCTTTTGTGCTTATTAAAAGTCAGGGTATCAGCATAATTCTATTGTTATTGTTAAATGTACTGGGGAGGAAGCCCAGATGTCAGACAAAGGGTCATTAAGCTTATTAAAAAAAAAGAGCTTATCAGCCTGATTTTCAGCATAATAGTGACTTTATTGAGCATAACATCCCGTTACACTGAAAGACTTTAGCGACAACCCTGAGAGGAATACTAAAAATCGATAACTCTATAGCCCCAACAGTTACACTAACAGAGCTTAGCAGGTATGGTACTTGCAAGTCCAAAAACATGTCTGCATGAGTTTTGAACCCTTGCTTTTGTTTGAGGTCGTACCACAGAGGAAATGCCTTATTCAAACTCTGTGAACCCTGTACTGATCTGATTCTCGTACTCTCCTCCAAGAAAAGTTTTTTTTTTTCGCTGGCTCCACTATATCCTAAATCTATCATCACTCCTGGGTCGTGCAGTTTAAGGCATGCAGCTATTAAAGTCAATGGCTTTGTATTGGGGTACCATGTCTGTCCTACCACAAAAAAAAGAACGGAGCCATGAGACTCTAATTGAAACTTTTAAATGAGGTTTTATAACCAGAGCTAGTGGGGGGGAGATGACAGACCACTGTACCTTCTCAGAAAAACACTGAAATAAAAATCACACGCACGATATATTAAGGTAAAACATTTTTTACTTGGTGCTGCTTATAACCGATGCACTATTCTGGATAAAATTAGCTCTCATATGTAATTCTCTGTGTCTTAACTTGAAAGGAACACAAAAGCCAACATTCATTAAAAGCAAAACCTGCTTTACTCGCTCCAAAGTAAAGAAAGTGGGACAAACGAATATCTGGAAAGTTTACCTGTAAATCTTTAAGGTAAGCGATTTCATGCGGTAGACATTCTAATTTGTTTTCCTCCAGGTCGAGTTCTCGTAACTTTCTCAAACTTCCAATACCATGCGGTAGCTTCTTCAGAAGATTATTGGACAGTATTAATACCTGGAAGACAGGGTCATAAATCAGAATAGACTGACCATCAGTGACAGTCTGGCAAACATTTCCATTGATATAATCATTTACTTTTAACACAGAAAGCTGCCAAGATGAAACCTAAATTGCAATTTTATCATGCCTCATAAAAGTATTCACACCCCATATACTGTTTACATTTTACATCACAAGACAAACAAACTTCAGTCTTTTTCGATGTATTTTGTTTTTGGGTGGTAAGAATGCTTATAAAATGAGATCTAATCTTTTACTGTTTGCAACAAAACAAAAGACTTGAAGAACAGACAACATGATCCTAAATACATCGCTATAATCAAACAGTGGTGTCAGCGCGATACTTTTCTTTTGCATGGTTGTGACTGATGGAAATATGAATGCAGGACAAACCTGGGGAGAAACCATCTGTTGGACACTGCCCAAGATCTATGATTGGGGGGAGGGTTACTATTCAAGCAACGCAACGACCCAATGGAGTCAGAGATGTAACGGACTGGTTTCGATAAAACCATGCTAGTATGTAGAATGGCCTAGTCAAAGACCAAAACTACAGGTGCTGGTCATAAAATTAGAATATCATGAAAAAGTAGATTGATTTCAGTAATTCCATTTAAAAAGTGAAACTTGTATATTATATTCATACATTACATACAAACTCATATATTTCAGATGTTTATTTTGTTTAATTTTGATGATTACAAATGACAACAAATGAAAATCTCAAATTCATCATATCAGAAAATTAGAATATTACTGAAGACCAATAAAAACAAAGGATTTATAGAAATGTTGGCCAACTGAAAAGTATGAACATGAAAAGTATGAGCATGTACAGCACTCAGTATTTAGTTGGGCCTCCTTTGGCCTGTATTACTGCAGCAATGCGGCGTGGCATGGAGTCGATCAGTCTGTGGCACTGCTCAGGTGTTATGATAGCCCAGGTTGCTCTAATAGTGGCTTTTAGCTCTTCTGAATTGTTGGGTCTGGTGTATTGCATCTTCTTCTTCACAATACCCCATAGATTTTCTATGGGGTTTAGGTCAGGAGAGTTTGCTGGCCAATTAAGAACAGGGATACCATGGTCCTTCAACCAGGTACTGGTAGCTTTGGCACTGTGTGCAGGTGCCAAGTCCTGTTGGAAAATGAAATCTGCATCTCCAAAAAGTTGGTCAGCAGCAGGAAGCATGAAGTGCTCTAAAACTTCCTGGTATGTGGCTGCGTTGACCCTGGACCTCAGAAAACACAATGGACCAACACCAGCAGATGACATGGCACCCCAAACCATCACTGACTGTGGAAACTTTACACTGGACTTCAAGCAACGTGGATGAAGTGCCTCTCTTCTTTTCCTCCAGACTCTGGGACCTTGATTTCTAAAGGAAATGCAAAATTTACTTTCATCAGAGAACATGACTTTGGACCACTCACCAGCAGTCCAGTCCTGTTTCTCTTTAGCCCAGGCAAGACGCTTCTGACGCTGTCTGTGGTTCAAGAGTGGCTTGACACAAGGAATGCGACAGCAGAAACCCATGTCTTTCATACGTCTGTGTGTGGTGGTTCTTGAAGCACTCACTCCAGCTGCAGTCCACTCTTTGTGAATCTCCCCCACATTTTTGAATGGGTTTCGTTTCACAATCCTCTCCAGGGTGCGGTTATCTCTCTTGCTTGTACACTTTTTTCGACCACATCTTTTCCTTCCCTTCGCCTCTCTATTAATGTGCTTGGACACTGAGCTCTGTGAACAGCCAGCCTCTTTAGCGATGACCTTTTGTGTCTTGCCCTCCTTGTGCAAGGTGTCGATGGTCGTCTTTTGGACAACTGTCAAGTCAGCAGTCTTCCCCATGATTGTGTAGCCAATAGAACTAGACTGAAAGACCATTTAAAGGCTTTTGCAGGTGGTTTGAGTTAATTAGCTGATTAGAGTGTGGCACCAGGGGCCATCAATTTTGAACCTTTTCACAATATTCTAATTTTCTGATATGATGAATTTGAGATTTTCATTTGTTGTCATTTGTAATCATCAAAATTAAACAAAATAAACATCTGAAATATATGAGTTTGTATGTAATGTATGAATATAATATACAAGTTTCACTTTTTAAATGGAATTACTGAAATCAATCTACTTTTTCATGATATTCTAATTTTATGACCAGCACCTGTAAATCCAACTGACAATCTGAGACTAGACTTAAAAAAGATTCCTCACAGACCAACTCCATCCAATATGAGATGAAGCTAGTCTTTTTAATAAATGTGTAGGCATGTCCTGAAACAGAGGTTCCTAAACTTATAAGCTTCTGACCGACAAAAACGGTCCCAGTCGACTCAGGACTCAGACTATTGATTGAATACAAAAACACTCCTACAAAAATCAACTCAGGTGTTGCCAACAGCAGCAAGAACCAAAGTAGATGTAGTAGATTCTTTTAAATCTTTAAGCACATAAATAATTAATTAGTTTGGATTACAACACTCCCTACTGATTGATCAAGAACCCCATGTAGAATCATAACCCCAACTTTGGGAATCACTACCCTAAAGGTCTTGGGAGGCAAATTATAACAGGTTATTTTCTCACCTTTTATTCTCCCTTTCACTTTTGTGAGCCCATTTTTGTTAAACTCTCACATGGAATCATGAACTCTTTTATAGTGGTGTGGAAATTTTTTAAAGAATCAAAGGGTAAGATAACTTTTGCAAGACTGCATAACAAGTTTATTTGAATTGCGGATTTCAGTGACAAACTATTAAAAGACCCTTTACAGGAACAAAGCACAAGAAAATAGCAAAGAGCATTAAAGTGGCACAATAAAAAAGGATAACAAAAAAATTGGACATTTTAATCTAAAGTTGCATCACCTAAGAAATTCCAAATTACAAAATTTTATCTTAAGGCTTTAGAAGAAAAAATGCCTCTTAATGGCAAATAAATACCACATCTTTATTTCAGCATAAATAGAAATACTAAAAACGACCTTAACCAATCAAAGATAACACCTGAAACCTACAGGACAAGATAAAGACCCACCTCTAGAGAGATAAGTCCACAGATGTCTTCTGGGATTTTATTCAGCTGATTAGTGGCCAGGTTAAGTTCAACCATGCTAGTCCATGTACCAAAATCCAACGGCAAAGCTGTTAACTGGTTGTCCTGAAGGAGTAAATAACAATGTATTTAACTTTGTATAATACAATGCAAAATGAAAGCTGGATGTGAGGGACTGAGTATTTAGCATACATGCTAACTCCAGCTAACAAGGAAGATTAGACAGAAATCAATCCATGCATATAAAATTTGAGTGAAATCAGATCACAGTTTTAGGAAAAAAATCATGCCAAATAGAAATTTTTCTAAAGATTTAACAAAACAAAAAAAAACATTTTCCCATGTCATATATATATATATATATATATATATATATATATATATATATATATATATATATATATATATATATATACAGTTCTGTCCTCCTACTTAAATTAAATCATTATCAAAGCATTTAGAAGAGCTCTCCTACTCATTGAATTAAATTGCATGTTTAAAAAAACAGTATATGATTTGTCTTGCCAAAAGGTGAAGCTTAATCATTAAACTTCTTCCTCTGAGCCAGATCTACAAAGTGCTAATAACCTTTCAGATTTACGTTTATCGCAATGTTCCATATAGTTGTAGTAAAAAGATGTGTCACCATGTCACAAATTCTAACATGATTATCGTTTATTAGACGCAGCCTTAAATGTTGTTTCAATCCTCTAGGCTAATCCTGTTTATCCAGCAGGGAACAATGCTTCATTTAATTCTCATGCTGATAGACAAGCAGTCTAACAGGATTAATGTGCTACCTGATGTGGAAGCTCAATAATATTGTTTTCAGCTGAGAATTTAGCAATTAGCAAATCACTATAGCACACTGTCTGATAATGGAGTGCAATACTGCCCCCCAGTGTCTTGGAGAATGAATAGAGTGGCTGCCCTTGATGGGTAAAGACAGTATCTCCTGATAGTCTATGTCCATCAGCTTTTTTATGAATTTTTTGTGTTGCTTTTACGTGATACTAACAAACAACATATGCCCCATCTTATAATGTAAATGTCGGTTGAAAAGGGTTTAATTTTTAAAAGCTGTAATTTATTTCAAAAAAGGAATAACTAAATGTCTGCTTAAAGTCTCATGTGCTGTTGAATGATGGATGTTTCAAATTTAAAATAAGAAACGTCACAGGAAAATAGTTTGTGACTTCATCAAAAATGTTTAGTTCTCTAAATAATCTAAAGTATTTTATATTAAAGGGAGTAAAGTTGACCAATTTAACTTTCCATCTTAGGAGAGCATGTTTCAGAGACTTTCAAGCAAAAAGGTAGAGAAAGGGTGATGATTTGGTCTCATCCTGTTACAGGGGCTGAACATCATGCAGTAATTGAGTGTGCCATAAGCCCCTCTTTAAACCAAAGTATTGTGGGGTCAAATGTGAGGCCACCTACTTGAGATCTGAAGCTTGGCTTAAACTGTGTTATCAACAGGATAAGACTCTCAAAAACAACTCTACTACAGAATGTTAAGAAAAGAAACAAAAAAGAGGGACAACGGCCTCAAGAGGGCTGTGCAGAAATCTGTATCAATTAACTAAAGCAATCTTGTAAAGAAGATTACAAATAATATAACTACATAAAACTGTCCCTAATAAAATTAAGCTAACAGATCATAGGCTCAATTTGTTCCCAAAATAATTTTTCACTTTGGCTTAATTTCTTTCAATAAATATTGACAGACATGAAATCTTGTGTTTTGTAAACTTGTTCGATTACAGAAACAGGTCCTGATAGAGACTATGGGTAATCCTTGTTCTTGCCACTGGTGATTCTTAGATAAAAATCTTAAAATCTGCCTGTGATGCTGTGGCAACAATGAAAATGTATTTATATGAATGGTACAATTAAAGATTCATAGAAAGTTGTACAGAACGACCAAAATACCTTCATGTTGAGCTTGCTTAACACTTTGGCCCTGGAGAAGATACCAAACGGGATCTTGTTGATGCGGTTGTGCTCCATGTTGAGCGTGTAAATAGTGGAGAACTGGGAGGGCCCACCCACAGGGTAAGACTGGAAGCAGTTCCTGGCCAGCGTCAGACTGGTCAAATTTAGCAAACTGGACAGCAGGCCCTGACATAAAACAAAATATTGACATGTTGAAAATGATCAAGGAACTTTAAATATATCCAAATGGAACTTGGCAAGAAAATAATCTTTTGACAAACCATTTAAAAAATAAACAGAAAGGAAATCTAAATGATTGCTTTTAGTCCCTTATATTCACCCCGGGTGTAAAAACCTCTGCTCTTACCTCTGGCAATACTGAAATGTTGTTGTTTTCAAGGTTTAGTTCCTCAAGTTCTCGACATTTGGCTAACGACTTGGGGATGGCTGACAATCGGTTATATCGCAGTCCTAATCGATTTATACTTGCCAAATTTCCTATAAATAGAACACATAATGAATTAAGAATTCCAAAAAAAAAAAAATTTGATTTTAACTGCTCATCAATTAATAGACACAAAGAAAAAGCATCAGGCTGTAAAGTTAAAGTCAAAGGATTACCTAAGTGCCAAACTTAAATTACCTATAGTCTCTGGGAGGTCCAAGAGCTCGTTGTGCTGCAGGTCAAGGTTGGTTATTTGTGTGCAATTTCCGATCTCCTTTGGTAGATGTTCCAACTGATTATGGGCAACATCCAGAGTAATGAGGCTGCATAGCTCCCCTGCAGAAAAAAAACAAAGTTACAAATAATTTAGACAAGTTGGCAAAGCAGTAATTATTTGTATGCGGTTTAAAAATGCACCAAATATAATGATAAAGAACAAAATTGTGGATAGATATGCTGCGGAATGATTTGCATAGTATTTTGATAAAAAAAAAAACATGATAAACACCGTTTTTTCTTTCATATAAGATAAAGTCAGAAAATATGTTCAGTTTTGTCTTTTATTCCAAACTCCAATAATGTTCATATTACTTACAATAAAGTTATGGGCCCAATTTTTGTCGCTTTTTAAAAACAAATGAGTGAAAACTTCCAGAAGATGTTCCTACAGAGGCCAAAATTTTAGACATGGAAAAGAAAATGTGTGGAAACTGATGAACAGTTAAGTTTAGAGACAGATGGACAGACAGTAAAACGGATTATTTCAACGGATAAACAGATTTCATAGAGATGACTTGATCGACAGACTGATAGTCAAGACATTATAGAGGGGAAACAACAAGATAATGAGGGGAGATGGTGTAGAGGCAGCAGAGCAAACAAACAAGTACGTCATGGATGGACTTTCTCAATAGTCTGTGGATCAAACTTTTAGCCATTTGTTCATTCTTTAGTTTGTCTTTTTCCCACCATCAGACACACATACCTATTTCTGCTGGTAGCTGTTTAATCTTGTTCTCCCGGATGCTGAGCATGGTGAGCTTGGAAAGATTTCGGATGTCCTTCTCCACTGTGGTGATGCGATTGAAGCGCAGGTACAGCGTGGTCAGAGACGTCAGCCGGTAGACCACAGGAGGTATCTCTCTGAGCTTGTTGTGCCGGAGATCAAGCATTTTAAGCATCTTCAGAGAATCCAAGGAATCGGGCAAACTGGTTAAGGAGTTCTCGCTGAGGGCTAAAGTGACCAGGCTTGACAGGCAGCCCACCTCAGCTGGTAGGCTCTGTAGCTTGTTGCTGTATAAATAGAGTTCTGACAACTGAGTCAACTCCTTAATAGCAGTGGGCAGCATGTGAATGGACCGTTTGGATAGGTCCAGTCTGGTTGAGTTCTCTTCCCGACACTTATTAAGCTCTTTGATGACCTCTGCATTACTGGATTTCTTGCGTGTGGTTGGTGCTGGGTTTGGCCGCTTTATCGTGTTGTCAACAGAAAAGGCAACACCTGGAGTTGAGCTGCTTGTGTCCTTCTTTCCTTCCTTTGTGTCTTTCCCTTTGGTCTTTGTTTCTTTGCCACCATCTTTGACTAGGCTGGATAAAGCCTTGGCCTCTTTGTCCCTTTCTTTACCTGCTAGACCACCTTTAGGGTCCTTTTCTTTTAAATCTTTTTCTTTACCTAAGGAACTACTCATTTTGACGTAATCAGCACCCCAGCATAGATGTGCATGGGACTCTCTCTTGACAGGTTACTTATTAAGAAACAAAGGGACACAGATAATCAAAGAAGCTTTTAAAATATACATCCCTATCCAGGCCGACAAATTGATGATTACCCTTGGAATAAATGGCCACTTGACCTAAGGGACGTTTTAGGGACTGTTCCTTGGCTAAAGTAGAATGGGGCAAATACGGCTTCGAAGCAAGTAACCTGTGGCGTCCACTGGACTCATGCTTGAGCCTTTAAACTCCCGTCAATCCCAGGTCTGCTGATTAGAAGTTGCTTTAGGTTGCAGCAGTTTGCTTAATCCCTCTGAAAAAAACACTGTTGAAGAAAAAAAAAAAAAAAAAACATTGAGTCAATGCAATGCTGTTTTATAAACAACATCTCAGTTTCAACAGATGAATGGCTCTCTGCCTCATCTTTCCTATCATGCATTTCTTTCACATCACACAGAACCAAACTCATGTTTTAAAATGTTCAATAAGAGCTACACCAAAATGTTCTCTCTTTCAAAATATGCAGCTAATATGAGTTTAGAACTAAAGCATCAGTATGATCTGTTGCTGATAAGAATCAGCTCATCTTTCTGCTCCACATGAATGCAATAGTCCTCAACGCTACCATACTCCACTGACAAGAAAAAGAGTTCAGCATGGCCACTGAATGAAGACTGACTTAAAGTTGGCCATTTCAGTTTTGGGGAGTTGCTGAAAACAGAAGCTATAAAGAGACAGAGAAGAAAACATATGTACGAAATGTGAAAGGTTTATTCCGGCTATGAGAGAGGAAGAGATATTTTCAAACAGATAACAAGAAGGCTGAACCTAAAGAAGCTAAGCTGATCTGGTTTATCCTTTTGAACTTTCAACGTCTACTTGACTTGAAACGTTTTGGACTTTGAAACCTTCTGAGGGAGATCAGATAACCGTCTATTTTCTATTTCCTACAGGGTTAAAAATGTGAACACTCATTTCATATGTCAGTATGATACGGTTTTACAACGACTGCTCTGTTACAAAGACTTTGTAAAGCTGCCTCTACCTCCAATAATAGCAACCAATGATTGCTTACAACAAAATGTTTAGAAACACTTTTCTAAAGCAATTCTTACTCTTTAAACAAACTAGAACCTGCTGAAATCATAAGTTTAAACTTCTGTATATAACTTCCCTTTGGGATGCATCAAGTACTTAGGAATTTCATAGAAGAAGAAGAAAAAGGGATACAATTTTTATTCATTGGCCCTCTAATTACAACTAGCTAAAACAACATAACATGTTTGGTGTACTTTTTTTTCCAAGAAACTTTTAATAAAATAAGGGAGAAATACTGCAGAAAATTAACTTAGAAAGGTTTTAGGGTGCAAATTACATCACAAAAAGAAAATAAAAAATGATGGAGTAAAAGTTAAGCTGATTACTCTGCCTGAGAGCTGAAACAAAAAAAAACAATACCAATATACACTAGCATAGACACCTGACCAATAATAATAAAATATATACATCCTACAGAATTCTAAATAGTTCCACTGAACTCCAAGCCAGAAACACATTTTTCAGCCATATCAAACAGACCTAGCTGAAAAATATTGAGAAAACAATTTAATGTTGCAGCTATTTCAGGAACAATTTGTCAAAGATATAACTTACTAGTAGGGATGTCCTTATCAAATCTACATATCTAAAAACATTCTGATATCACCCAAATACATTTTGCAATAAAACAGCCTGCATTTCAACTCTCGGCTGGTTTATGGGTGACGCATCTGCAAAGTCTGCACGGCCAAGAGAATAAATGCTACTGCAGACGCTGTGACGTTGGATAATTAAAAGAGACTGACCAATAAATTTCTGATTTTTTTTAAGGCCTTTGGCGATTACTTTGAAAATTAGCCCAACCAATCCCAGACATGAGATGCCAAAATTTTGGGGCAAAATCTTGGAGTCGATATTGCTTTTCTGCCTCAATTCAATGATTAAAACAATACAATGCTGGCATTCATCATAAAAAATAAAAACATTAAAGAAAAGATGATGGATACAGTGGCAGATACACTGATCTGATACCTGGATTAGGTATTGACTCAGATACTGACTAATTAGATGCATCAGATATCGGTGATTTGATATCAGACATCCAATTGAGTAAACTTTACATGGAAATGTTACTTGTTTTTTTGGTGCTTATTTATCATCCATCCATCTTCTGTTGGATGTGGGTGCCCATCTCCAGCTTTCAATTGGCGAGAGATGGGGTACAACCTAAACTGGTCACTATTCTGATAATTTATGAATAAATATATAAAGTACATTTACATTCACTAACATGGCAAGATATATGGTTTGCCCATTCAACAGCTGGATAGATTGGTATCCAATATCAGCCAATACACTCAGCCCAGGTATTAGTGCAGCTCTAGTGGCAAAATGCGTGCCTCACTTGATGTCAACACATGGCTGCTGAATGCATTAATAAATCAAACGCATGCAAGGATCATCCGATATAAGAAAATAACATTGGCCATTGGAAGTATCTGTTTGCTTGTACTTAATGAGAAATGGGTCCGTTGTTCTCATACCTATTGTTGGTTACCATAATTTACTGTTCAAGTTATATCAGCTGATTGAACCTTACAAAATCAGTAATAAAAGTATGTATGATTAATGCGGATATTGCATCTGGTTAATATCGGTACATATTTAAAAGTGCAATATGGTTATTGTATGAGAACTAAAAACATATATTACGAGGGGTGCAACTAACGATTTTTTTACAAATCGATTAATCTGTCGACTATTTTTGTGATTAATCGATTAATGATCAGATAGCTAAAGGTCGCTTAAAGAAGATTTAAAGTTGGGGATGGATCAGATTTTAGTTTTGGATATAGCATTCTGACAGACAAAAAGTTTTTTTATATCTTAAATGCAAAATGTTTACATATTTTTTTAACATTTTTGTATATAATTACTTCACTAAGGGGGTTGCTCTGTCACCTAAAGGCATGTTTTAGAGTCTGTATAATCCAGTTAACGATTAATCAATTACTAAATTAGTTGATGATTATTTCAATAATTAATTAATCACAATTCCGATTCATTGTTTCAGACCTAAGAATAAAACTTCACTGTCTTTTATATCAACATGAAACACATCATGTCTGAGAAGGTAAAGTTTGTACTATCGGATATGTACTTGTAGTCATTGTCTTCTGGTTTATCTGGGACCGGGGGACAGCAGTGACTCCCAGAATTCCCTCTCCACAGACACCTGCTCCAGCTATTATTATTATTATTACTATGAGACACTGATAATTTGTTCATAACCAAACAACGGCCAGCGTTATCCATAATAACAAACATTGCCTAGTTTATATTGTGCACAATAAAGTTTTTTTTTCTCCCTCTAATGTGTGCTAGAACGCAGACCTTTTGACAGCTATGTTACAAACAAACCAGTTCTTCTCCTTGTCTACGTTTAGTGTTTAGTCTATCCTATAGTTACCTTGATCATGGACTAAAACACTCCAGCAACAGCTAAAGCCAAGCTGCTTCTAAAAGAAAAAAAAAAGTCTCAATCATAATCGAAGCCAGGAGAAAAGGTTGGAACTGCTGAGAGCAATCTTTAGAAAATGCCTTCAAAGCACAAAGTCCACACCACACTGGATCACATGACTTCTGGCTTACGGTTAGATGATAGATGTACCCCTTACATGGAAGTACACCATACAGTGCATCCTATAAACAATAAAAAGGTATCCATTGCTCTTTTTGCTTCGCATAAATTAACTCAGTAAAATAGAAAATTGGTTGCTGGAAAAATACTTGCGTGCTCAGTTGTTAGAAAGTTTAAGTGAGAATAACCAGGCCAAGCCAAATGCTGCAACCATGTAAACGTAGCTGTGCAAGCCACTTCCTTTTATGGTTGCAGCGTTGGTTTTTCTACCCTGATGCAGCACCATCCTTATATTTACGTTTATTTGCTTTACACTGGCAGACTACTTTTTTGTACAAACAGATGTCAAAGTTAAAAAAAGAAGATGACCCATTAAAGTGAAGGGGCAAACCAGAAAAGCTTCAATAATAATAGGTTTAGTCTAATGTAACTCCCAAATCTAAGGGGTACAAATGTACTTATCATTTACACAGCATTAACGGTATAATTATACAATAATTTTAAAGTAATGTGTTTAATCAAACAAATTATTATATGCATTATATGACTCTATAGGAATGTGTACTTGACCACATGCCAAAAGGTATCACCAAAAGGGATCAAGGCTGTCTTGACAAAATAAAAATAAAAAACTAAAAATAAATAAATTGCAAAACTGAAGGTTTTAGAAATGCTGATTAATTAACCTTTAAGGTTGTGATGATTATTTATATGGGAAATGCAATTTCCCTTTGAGTGGATTCCCTTTAACTACAGGTGCTGGTCATAAAATTAGAATATCATGAAAAAGTAGATTGATTTCAGTAATTCCATTTAAAAAGTGAAACTTGTATATTATATTCATACATTACATACAAACTCATATATTTCAGATGTTTATTTTGTTTAATTTTGATGATTACAAATGACAACAAATGAAAATCTCAAATTCATCATATCAGAAAATTAGAATATTGTGAAAAGGTTCAAAATTGATGGCCCCTGGTGCCACACTCTAATCAGCTAATTAACTCAAACCACCTGCAAAAGCCTTTAAATGGTCTTTCAGTCTAGTTCTATAGGCTACACAATCATGGGGAAGACTGCTGACTTGACAGTTGTCCAAAAGACGACCATCGACACCTTGCACAAGGAGGGCAAGACACAAAAGGTCATCGCTAAAGAGGCTGGCTGTTCACAGAGCTCAGTGTCCAAGCACATTAATAGAGAGGCGAAGGGAAGGAAAAGATGTGGTCGAAAAAAGTGTACAAGCAAGAGAGATAACCGCACCCTGGAGAGGATTGTGAAACGAAACCCATTCAAAAATGTGGGGGAGATTCACAAAGAGTGGACTGCAGCTGGAGTGAGTGCTTCAAGAACCACCACACACAGACGTATGAAAGACATGGGTTTCTGCTGTCGCATTCCTTGTGTCAAGCCACTCTTGAACCACAGACAGCGTCAGAGGCGTCTTGCCTGGGCTAAAGAGAAACAGGACTGGACTGCTGGTGAGTGGTCCAAAGTCATGTTCTCTGATGAAAGTAAATTTTGCATTTCCTTTGGAAATCAAGGTCCCAGAGTCTGGAGGAAAAGAAGAGAGGCACTTCATCCACGTTGCTTGAAGTCCAGTGTAAAGTTTCCACAGTCAGTGATGGTTTGGGGTGCCATGTCATCTGCTGGTGTTGGTCCATTGTGTTTTCTGAGGTCCAGGGTCAACGCAGCCACATACCAGGAAGTTTTAGAGCACTTCATGCTTCCTGCAGCTGACCAACTTTTGGAGATGCAGATTTCATTTTCCAACAGGACTTGGCACCTGCACACAGTGCCAAAGCTACCAGTACCTGGTTGAAGGACCATGGTATCCCTGTTCTTAATTGGCCAGCAAACTCTCCTGACCTTAACCCCATAGAAAATCTATGGGGTATTGTGAAGAAGAAGATGCAATACACCAGACCCAACAATTCAGAAGAGCTAAAAGCCACTATTAGAGCAACCTGGGCTATCATAACACCTGAGCAGTGCCACAGACTGATCGACTCCATGCCACGCCGCATTGCTGCAGTAATACAGGCCAAAGGAGGCCCAACTAAATACTGAGTGCTGTACATGCTCATACTTTTCATGTTCATACTTTTCAGTTGGCCAACATTTCTATAAATCCTTTGTTTTTATTGGTCTTCAGTAATATTCTAATTTTCTGATATGATGAATTTGAGATTTTCATTTGTTGTCATTTGTAATCATCAAAATTAAACAAAATAAACATCTGAAATATATGAGTTTGTATGTAATGTATGAATATAATATACAAGTTTCACTTTTTAAATGGAATTACTGAAATCAATCTATTTTTTCATGATATTCTAATTTTATGACCAGCACCTGTAATAAAGTACTTCTAAATTGTAATGGAAGGAGGGTCTGTGCAACAATAATGATGATCAGAAAACAAGCACTGAGTGGAACATGCAGAAGCATTTCTGGCCAAGGTAACAATATCAAACAAATTTCATAAAGTGTAAAAATCTAAATTATAAGTAGTTTCAGTGAAATGTTATTTGATTAATTTAATTTTAAAATCATATATACTCTAAGGTTTACGCTTTGTTCCCAGTATGTGTTTCAAACTGAAAGATTAAGTCCATCCCCTGCGTAAATAATGTCGACACATTAAAATGGAAAAGATCCACTTTGGGTTTGCATCTCTAAGACCTGCAGTTAGCTTTTAGCTGCTGGGTGTTACTTTAAGGTAGGCCTTAACCAATAGATTTTGGATTTCTGAAAAGCTACCAAACCTGTTTAAGTGAGTATTTTTCCACAGCAGGTCAGGAAAATCTGTTTAATATACTTGGGATAACCTCACACAAGCTCACTGCTGCTAAGCAAACATGGCCCATGGAGTGTTAACATTGCATCATGAGTTAGCCATGAAATCTGGGGTACAACATATCCTTGAAGCAAGCTAAGGATAGTTACAAATAAACCTACAACTTTGCTATGATAAATAGGAGTTAGTTACACAATAACTTTGAAGCCAAACACTTACAAAGATGCACAATTCCTGGCCAGTACCAGTGTTTTCCTTTCTGATCTCACATTCCACCTCTAAGGACTATAAAAAAATAAATTTGAATACTCTACAAGTTCTCTGACCATGGTTGCAGATTAGATTTATGCAGAAAATAAAGAAATGACAGGATTATTCTCAGTCATGCAGGAAAGCAAAGGTCCATAACTGATATATGTTACTTTAAAAAAAAAGTGCAAAGCTCTATGTGCCACTGGTTTACATATAGACCTATAATACTAAAATCCTTTGGTTTTGTGCAAGTAATCGAGCAGAAAACTAGAATTCATTTTTATTTTTAGTGCTTGAATTGTTGATAAACAGTGGAGATTGAGGGAAATGATGTAAATTATGATATGAAGGTGATTGACTGTGGCATCTCTAAACAGTTTAGAGATGTCTAAACAGTCATTCCAATTTTAGTAATGAAGTTTTTTTAAAACAGCAGCACTAATGACAATTGTACAAGAGTCTGATCTGTAGGTGTATAGACATAATTGTTTTTGCTCCAAGACTTCGGATGGGCCTAAGAAGCATTTTAGTAAACAAGGCTTGCAAACACATTATGTGAAGTGAAAAGCATTTGGCCCATGTAGAGATCAGGCTTGAAGTCAAATACAGCTTTACTAAGAAAAAAGGCTAATGTGCATCCATCAACACAACCGCAGCACCACCATAAAGAGCTACTTTGACTTTCCCCACACACACTAATGAAGTTTCCATTAGGGATATCTTTGACCCATTTGCTACTGCCACAGCATTTAGAGTAAATCCCATCTCTGCTGATATCTGTCTCACTGTGTTTGATAGACAAAAAATAAATAAACACAGCAAATCATTAAAAAATGTTTTAAATGAAACGTGCCTGTCATGGAAATAAAGCAATTCACGTCTCAACTCATTTGTGGAAATGGAAAGCCATACTACACTGAAATAAATAAATAACACAAATCAGGCCCCAGGAGAAATTAGGAAAAACAAAGGTGATGTGGCAGCTGTTTTATAAGCGAATCTTGGAAACAGCTTGGCAGCTAAAGAGTCATGTCAAGTCGCCTAAAGAGATTTAATACATTTCCAAACAAGAACGAAAAAGTAAATATTAGAGATTGCTGTATGCTAACTTGTACAGTGGTAATAATTGGGTATGTGCTAAAACAATGCTACACGTTACGCTCAACGTTACCAAGTCATTTAGCCAAGTTGTTTAACTATAAGGAAAAAAAAGAGTCAACCAGAATTCACAGAAATTGATTCTTTTGAATGAAGTAAATGTCAATATTGAGAAAACTTTGCCAAAACCACTGACAACAGGCAGGAAATAAGCTAAACGTCAACAGCTAAGCAAACGTCAGTTCTGCCAGACCGCTAACCTGCTAGCTTTAGCTAGCGCGAGCCGTTTAGCCCAACCCGCTAATGAGATTCTAACGTTAACATTCCTAAAAAGACAGGCAGTAAAATCGCACTAAGTAACAATAAAAAACTAAATCCACATATATACACGCAGGGGAGGGGAAAGGATGAGTCCAGGCAGCGAGCGATCCGCCTGCTCCTGAGCGGAGGGGTTTACCGTAGGCCCAAACAGAGCGGTTATCGCCCGAGAGGGGAAATCTCTGCTACCGCCAGCTGTGAGCTCACACAGCGGACACCAGAGCCCCATAGAGCAGCCGGGGGTGAGGTAGATAAACACCCAGAACACTACAACAACCTATATACCAACTAGCTGCAGCGCAGTAATCACGCGTCGATTTCGAACTGAAAACAAATGAAAAGAAAAAAAAAAGAAAACACTGAAAAAACAGCGGCCATTCCGAAGCTGAACAAAAGAGAGCGCTCGTATTCGCCAACAGAAAATGACACAGTAACGCTAAACAGAGTTCCGTAAAACGAAGGGAAGAGTAAAGCTAAGTGAGTGAGACCACAGTTAGCTGAAGGGATGGAAAGGTTTATTGTTATTGGGCTTAAAATAAGCGGTTTACCTTCAGAGGTGTGACTCCGCCATCCTTGCTGCTTCCTCCTCTTTTCCTACACTGCTGCTCCCCTCCCCTCCCTCCTCTGCCCCCGATCACACAACTGCGTCATACTTACGCCTAACCAATGTTATCACGAGACTTTCAAATGCACCCAGAAATCAAATAAAACTGGGATAACCTTTCACTACACAACAGCGAGAATGTTCATTGACAACAATTATGCTTGATGAAAATTACATTTTTTGTAACATACCATACGATAACGTGTTGCTTATTTTACGTGTCAAACAAACAATAAAAAATAAAAACATTAAAAAGTCAAATTATGTGTTTGTTCCACTTATTATTGAACAACCACAATACTCTTAATTACTTTGACATATTTGTACCAATAAGAAAACAATAATTAAGTTTTAGCTTTCTGATGAGAGTATATATTTATTTTCATATCTGATGAGCCGCTATAAGCTCGTACAAAAATTGTAATTTAGATGTCCCACATGCTCATTTTTAATCATTGAAGGCATGGGCGGTTCTAGAAAGGGGCCAACGGGGGCCAGAGCCCCTGTTAGGGCCCCTGTACCGAAGGCATAATACTAAGAGAAGTTCTAATGATGATATGCGCTGGAGCAGACGTGGTTACTGGAAGGTCCTTTGGATCTATTTAATTTTTTTTTCCTTTACAAATCATGTTTTACTAATTATAAAAAAAATAATAATAATAACGTGGTAGCTTTAGCGGTAATGAGATAGGATCCCAGTTTTCATCTGCTTAATGTTTTTTTTTTTTTTTTAAGCAAATTAAGAAAAATACTTATAATTTTTTTACAGCTGAATTTATTAGTTTTGCTTAAGTTCTAATTCTGATTTATATAGAAAAAGGTTATTTTAACTTAAATTCAGTCAAAAATACGTAACATTCGTAAAGACATAGAATTCTAATTAAACCTAATTGAATAGAAATTCCTCTTCATGCAGCTATCTTAATATATTTGAATCACTTTCCCTGTTTTTTATTTCATGCTTTTCTGTTCCCCCATGAAAACACGCTGGCCCCCTCCTGGCCACCTCCTGCCCCCCTCCTGACCCCCTGGTACATTTTGGTCTAGAACCGCCACTGTCTTAAACTGTGCATAGTAAATAAACACTTTAACAAATGTATCTGACAAAAAAAAAACATGTTCAATCACTTCTTTTGATTTAGGGCCATACGATTGTGGACACTAAGAATAAAGGTAGATGGATTTCCTAAACTATAATTCTCCTGTTTAAGAAGGACTAAATTGTTTTAAATTAGTGTAAGGTCATGATTTATATCCACTGAAATACATTGTCTTGTATATTGAAAGATGCGTACATTTTTGAAAATACTTCCTTAAGAAATTGTCAACTAAAACTAATTTTTACCTCATTCAGTCAATCAATTCAATTCAGTTTATTTATATAGCGCCAATTCACAACACATGTCATTTCAAGACACGTTACAGTTCACCAGATCATACAGTAAAACTGATTCAAAGTTTTCTATTTAAGGAAAACCAATTGATTGCATTGACTCACTGACTCGAATGCAAGCCCTCACACTAAGCATGCTTGTAGCGACAGTGGAGAGGAAAAACTCGCTTTTATCAGGAAGAAACCTCCAGCAGAACCAGGGTCAATGTGAGCGGCCATCTCTCGAGGCTGACTGGGGTTCAAGGAGACAGAAGCAGAGATACAAAAGGCAGCTGTAAAAGGTGGCCCCTTCCAGGAAACACACAGCTACTCTACAAAAACTTTAATAGAATTTTTTTTATGTTTCTTGGCCCAGTATGGAAGCTTCTGCTTGCCTTGATGAGCAGTGGTCAAGTTTAAGCCTTATTAAGCCAAGTCTCAGAGGACTGGACACCTTGTCCTTCAAGGTCCTTCGAGTTTAAGCACAATGGAAGAAAGGGTTTCTCTGAGTTTTTGTTTTTTTTCTTTTTTTATGCAAAATATTCCTTGAAACCTGTTGATTATTTGCAACAAAACATTTGCTGGTTCTGTGACAATGCTCCAACGTATTGGCAATTTCAACAGCACTGCATCCCTTCAAAATATAATTTAGACGAGGAACAGATGTTGCCTTGTAAAATCCACACCTTAATATGAAGTTTTTATTTCCTTAGACAACATGCCTTGATGGAAAATTATTTGATTAGTCAATATGTTATATATCCTACCAAGGTTAGAATTTCTACTTACCTGTTGTTGACTAAAAAAAAACAAAAAAAAAAAAACAGAATGTTTTTATTCAAACAAGATTTTGTGTCTGGAAAAAGACCCAGCTGACACCGAGAGCTGATTCTATGGAAGGCTCAGCACAAGGCGAGCAGTCAGGCTTTCATTCCAGCATTTACAGGTTAACTGTACTTATCCTTACAGATAGGGTGAGGTGCTCTCTCATATCAGACAGAAGTTATTAGGTAGTCTCAGTATCAATCAGAAACTAACATGGATGCTTCTCTCAGGGGGTTTCTCATGGTGTCATGGAGCCACATATAGTGCTATTAAGTATTTTGATAAGAAAAACACTATTCTAATATCTTTAATGATGCAAAGAGTAAAAAACAAACTTTTGGGTTGAACTGAAGAGGTATAAACAGATATCAGATAAAGCATGTGGCCAAATCAGATATCATTTACTCTCTCAAATAAACAGACTTTGAAGTCGTTTGACATCACCTGATTCTAGGGCTGAAATGATGAATCGGATTTATCGTGATTAATCGATTATTGAAATAATCATAAACTAGTTTAGTAATCAGTTCATCGTTAACTGGAGTATAGAGACTCTAAAATGACCTGTTCCAATGTTATAGGTTATTTTATTGCAATTGTTAGTGAATGTGACTGATAAGATGTACACCATGGAGAGCTTCAAACCTGTTGCTTTGGGGTGTTTACTCTTTAGTTGGAACACATTCTTATCAAGTGTTCAGGATCACCTAGTGACAGCAACCTTTTCAGCTCACTTTCAAAATGAACACAGGGCTGATCTATAAATGTGTGTAAAAAATAGGTAAAATGTTATTTGCTATAGGGAGCATTTTTAAGCCATTATTTTATGTTATCTGTATGTTTTTAAGTATCCAATATGGTGGAACACTCTCTGCTCTTGTTCATTTGAATTCAGATGATCTTTCTATGAATCAATGCTCAATGCATGATTGTCTTCTGGATTGTGCATCCTATCCTAATGCCTTAATCATTCTCTCCTTCTTCTGCTGGTGATGCTATCTAGTGTGGCATCCTGTTTAACAAAATGTGCGTTGTTATAAATTCCACAATTTTAGTAGGAAGAGATGATAAACTTCCGCTTCAGATAGTACATCAAGTGTGCAATGTTATGAAAATGGTAAAATACATGAGCCATGTCATAGCACATGATTTATCTGATAATGAAAAAGGTTAGCAGTCAAGGATTGTAGTGAAATGGCTGTAGAGCCAACATTTTTAAAACATGTTTCTAATGATGTATATACAAAGGTGCAGCCAGAAAATTTACTAAGGGTGGCCAGGCAATAACCAATGGTGGCTAAAAGCGGATAGGTGCCAGAACATCAGGGTCAATCTACACTGTTCTAAAAGGAAAAGGAACAAGCACAACATCCATATTTTCTACATAAAGACAAAGTATATTTTCCTTCCGCCTTTGCTAACAAATAGATGCATATATTTAAACATCCATGCTGTCTAAATTAAAGGTGTAGTGGACAAAATTCTTTCAGTTTTGAGTTCTGGGGTGGATATCTTATTCATTGTCATTACTTACGTATTTTTATTAATAATCATTCTGCAAATTAATATTTACATGTTCTAATATCTACATCAAATGGATTACTAATTATTAAAGTAGTTATTTATCACTGATATTAGTGAAGAGTCCTAGATGACTTGCAGAGACCTAATTTTCTCTGTACCCAATATAAGACCAAGAGGATGAATTCTATACTTATCATCTTTAATGTTAGTATATATGTGCATAATTAACCACAGTGCTTTTTTTGTCAGGTAAGAGGTTGGCCCCGTTGGCCCACCCCCGTGGCCCCCCATCTAGCTCCGCCCCTGTATATAAATAAATATATATATATACAGGGGTGGTCGGTGTCAATGGACAGACGGAAACCAAATTTTTGTCTAAGATGATGTTTCCACCCCTTAACTGCTTGAGTCTAAGTGTCATAGTCCAATTTATAAATTGAGCCCGAAGACTCAAACAATATTCCTAAATCTATCTGAAAAGAACTTATGAAATGTGTATTTGTCTTACAGTAGTTACATTATATGAAGTATTAGTAATGAATACTTTACTACTAGTATTTGGGGTAAGTTTATATGATTTAAATTGTTGATTCTAAAGAAAAAAGTGAAAGAAGAAAAATATTAACTGATTGTGAAAACTTTTAGAGTTCATATTGAATCATCAGAGAAATGTTTAAAGAGCAAATATTATTCAGCATATTAAAAGTGATACACAGGACCAGTGTCCGACAGACACAGCAGCTGAAGCATTTATCAGAAGGACAAACCTTTTAGAGCTACTAATAAGAGCTGCAGTGATTGTCTGGCAGAACCTGGACTGAATGCTTCTTGCACAATCCTGCTCTGACAGACAAGCACGAAATTGAGACTTATCAGTGAAAACCAGTTTCAGGGATGATGCAACACTAATCTCTATGCGTTAAGTCTAAGATAACACACCCTCGCTCTGCTCACCCTTTGACACAAAACATCTAGATTAAAACTAGCAGAACAAATCAGTATTTTCCTCTTAATAGTAATAGTGTTAGTTTTTGTAGCAGTACAGATTGTAGAATAACTATTAATATATTTTTTTCCTAATTTATCCTAAACCTTTTCACGGGGGTAAAATTTAGTGACGTTTAATGGATCTAATGTTCTCTGGATAGTGACAAAGTACAAACACGCCTTTGCAACAACTGTGGTCTTGTCCTAATTTCTCTGAGCCGCCGGTGGGTGTCGCTATAGCACAGCGTTAATGCGATAAACCAAAGAAGGTCACGTGACTATATGGATGCAGTTTTGAGTTTGGAATTTGAAATCAGAAAA